CTAAAATTTAAAAGGTAATATCTTTAAAGTGTAAAAAAGTTTTCGTTTGTTTGTTTGCTTGTTTGTTTGTTTAAAAAGACAACATCATGTCCTTAACATCACAATTCAGACAGAAATCTAAAAATCCTGATAGACATCAGCAAAAATAAAATATTAAGTTTTGGTTCAACAGCAAAAGGTCTGTGCACTGCTCTACCATATCATTCCTGTCACACTATTTCCCACTGACATCTGGTTTTGGCTCAGCTAGTTTTTAAGGTCTGATAAAACTTTATCTACTGTTGAAGTCATCACCAAACATATTATTGACTGATGGTCTAAAGCATGTTTTTTGTTCAATCAAAGTACTATAAAAGAAACATGTAATCTATCAAAGGACAAACAATATGGCAAATTACAGCAATGTTGCAAATTTTGATGTAATTTTGGAGAACATTGACATAAAGATTTTTAAAGTACATGATAAGGCAATTATTGAATTCCCATACAGTCAATATGTTGTTTTGCAGGCCTCAGCCAAAGTCAATAATTATATATAACCCTATAATATTCCATATTGTACACTTTAGATCATATATTCAAGTATATGGAAACATGCAAATACTTTTAACTGAATTTCAATTTCTTTTTTATTGAACTAATAGAAAGAAAGGGCTCAATTTTCCAATTTTTCATCAAATACATTTAAAGCTGACTATGATATCTGATTTTGAGCACTCCAAACAGTTTTTTAATTTTAAAATGTAATGTGACTAGACCATCCAAGTCATTTACCTAGATAGACTAGTCACCTAGTAAAAGGTTTGCCTTTAAAATTTACCACTTAAGTTCAAGAATTTGATTTATATAGATATATTTGAAAAGTTTCACAGACTTACTTAAATGACTAGACCTTTGTCTCTGTCTCCATTACTTTTGTATAGACTCTAGTGTCCAGGGACAAAGCATGTGTCCTGTCAACGTTTACAGTAAATGTATATCCTATATATTATTGGCAGATAAAATTGTCGTATATTCAGCTACGTGGTATTTAAAATAAACTTTAAATTTTAATTTGTGGGGTCTGTTGTTTATTGCAAATGAGGAAATAAGTACAAAACTAGAGGATGGTCCATTTATACATTAAGTGTTGCAGCGGCTGGTTTTGTCTTGCTGACCCATTTTGTTACATTGGCCACATTGGGAGGATTCTTCTTTTGTTAGTCTTTATTTCTGGCAGTAAGGTATTCCTTAACAAAAGAAGCTGGGAAAGATAATAATTTTGGTAGTGCTTTGTGAGGTTACGGATCTTGTTCCCTATTAACTTGATAAGTTGAAAAATGTTTTTCCTTTTGGCTTGAAACTGATAGAAGTGATGAATATTTTTAAAAAGTGGGTTTGAGTTTTAAGGTTATGCTGTTTTTTATTTGCTGTTCTTAGCATGTCAGCAACACTGATAAGAGGGCAAGTTCAGTAACTCTCTTCATACCTTCCAATGAACTATCCATAATAACAACAGGTCTGGTAGTGGCCCTGTCAATAGAATAGCATCTAACTCCTTGAAGTACAATATGTCCACCTGGCCCCTACCAGACCTGTTGTTATAGTCTTTCTGTTTTCAGTAGTGCTTCATGAGGTTATGGATTTTTGTATAGACTCTAGTGTCCAGGGACAAAGCATGTGTCCTGTCAACATTTACAGTAAATGTATATCCTATATATTATTGGCAGATAAAATTGTCGTATATTCAGCTACGTGGTATTTAAAATAAACTTTAAATTTTAATTTGTGGGGTCTGTTGTTTATTGCAAATGAGGAAATAAGTACAAAACTAGAGGATGGTCCATTTATACATTAAGTTTTGCAGCGGCTGGTTTTGTCTTGCTGACCCATTTTGTTACATCGGCCACATTGGGAGGATTCTTCTTTTGCTAGTCTTTATTTCTGGCAGTAAGGTATTCCTTAACAAAAGAAGCTGGGAAAGATAATAATTGTGCAATAAAATTGGAAAGAAAGAGAAAAAAGATGAAGACTTTTCTCACATCAGATTTTCTCGACAGATTTTCTTGACTCTACGCATCCTTCAACAGTTTACCAATATTCGTATTTGATAGTTTATTTTGATTTGAGAGAAAGAGAGAGAAGACCCTCTACTAAGGCCACAAATTAATTATGTGTATTTTTCTTCAGCACAAGAGATTGTGTAGTGAAAAATCAGTCTGTAACTCTGGTAGAGGTAGCCTTTGTGTGTGTAATGATATACGAGTTGGGGACAGGGGGTGCAATTTTATAGTACAATTATTCTATTGAGATTCTCTTTATAATTTGTTCAGTGTGCATGAATATAATATTTACCAGCTGAAAAATAATGTGATAATGTAATGAATTTTTTATTCATTATTCATTTTATTCATTAACTACTTGACTGAACCTGATTATTACATGTAGCCCAATTAATCAGTCAAAAAGATATCAAAACCTAAAACTAAAAAGACGAATTCATCAATAATTTTACTAATAACATCTGTGCTAGAGGGTTCGTTTCATATACAGCAATTGTGCAAATTTTGAGTCTTAGTTGAGAGTGCCTTTAATCATAAGATGGCCTTAGAAATAGAGTAAGACAGGCCTACATTTTGATAATTTCCAGGCCTACCCAACTACCAGACTTGGCACATAAGGATCCTGAATTAACTGGTATATCGGACCACACTACCCGTTTTCAAGATGTATGTTAGATCGCATTTTGGAGTATCAGTCAGAACACTGACAGGATGAGCCTGCAGTCATCCTACAAAATTTGTTCTGGGGTATGACATTCCGAAATGTGATCTGACACACACCTTGAAAACGGGTAGTGTGGCCCGATGTACCGGTTAATTCAGGATCCTTATATGCAGAGTCTGGTAGTTGGGTAGGCCTGATTTCTAGTCTTTTAATAACCTTAATACCATTTCTTGCCATTCATTTTAACACCGTCCGAGCCATTGAAAAGTTTTTTGCTATGACACTAAAACTTCTTAACAGAATTTATATTTGTCACTAAGTCAGAAACTGTTCGAGGACATCTCTGTCATTATCGCCATTTATATATAATTATCGAAGGCCATTTATAAGGCATGTACAGCAGTCTCAAAGGATGAGGAAGTTTCAAAATAAAGAAAATTATAAATGCTGTCACCAGCCACCATTATTGTTCCTGAAATAAACAGAGGCAATAATGATCTGTAACTGGTTTTTAATGGCTATGCGGTATATATATATAAACCACTTTCATTAGTATACTATACGTCTAAAATTAAGTTGACATGCCAAGTCATAAACCAAATTAATTGTTCAGCCAATTGGGACGGCGTCAACGGGCAGCATCTGTACTTAGCAAAAGGAAATATATACACCAACGTTTTATTTTTTTTTCAAAAGGAATTTAATTTATTCATTTTTAATCTACAAAGTAGTAGATTTATTATTAAAGTATTAAAGGCACAAAAAAATATCGCGTAAGATTTTTTGATGATTAATAACCTCTTATCCCCTTTAAACATCTCTATGGTATCAAGTTCTATTGGGATGCCAGGGCTATGATAGATTCATCTTTGTATTATTGACATCCACTCCACATCTCATTAGTGTTATGTTGAACTTAATGCCAGGCATTGTGCATTCTTAAATAATTCAACAGTAATTATGAAAGCATAAAGTTTGAAATTAATAAGGTAGCTTTTAGTTCTAAAGCATGAGCTTGATTTACAAAGAGATGGGTTGAAAAGGCCTTGGCTTGAACAAAATCCCAAGTCACAGACAATTTTGAATTAAAAATAGATTAATTGCATACCTAATAAAAAAGCAGAACAGAATCTATGGTTAAGAACAACTTTTATTACCTATCTTGCGTATGGCAGACTATAAAACTTTTATTCCTTTTTTTTATCTCTGAAGAATTATTTTTGAGAATTCTGCGCTTCTTACATGACTTTGAGAGAAATAATTCAGGCAAATAGTTGAGATCCTAGGTATTAATAAGTTTACAGATCAGTTGGGTGCAGAAAACTCAGGTGCTACAGATAAAGAAAAATGCCCGTGTTCTTAGGTATTAAAATACTTACTTAGTAAAGTGTGGAAAATTCAGGTTAAACAGGTAAGAGAAAGTGGTTGTGATCTTTAGCATCAATAAGATAACTGTCATAATATTGCAGATGTGGAAAAATGTGGGAAAAATGCTTGTGATATTCCAGATATTTATTTATTTAATTACCACCTAAGGATGAAAGAAATAAAAAAAAAACATGAACATAGTATCTAACACACACAAAAAAATATTCTTATATATGGTCAGGCTGAAATCTAACACGATGAGTAAAAATAAAATAAATTTTCAATGAGAGAGAATCATATGAATACATAAAATTTCAAGCATTTTTCCTAAACTGTTGTGCACAAGTTATCATGTAATTGGTTCAACTAATGAGTGCGTTTTATGATGTACACATGAAAATGGACTAAAATGCTATGAAATTATATGCCCATGGGACCGACATGCAGCTAAATATCCCGTGTGGGGGAAAAAAAAGAAAGAAATTATCATTTTGTAATCTTCTGTATGCAAGATGAGGGATGTAATTTATCTATTTATAATTTTAAAATGTCTGTGACTTGGGATTTTCAACCCCCTAGGCAGGACTGAAATGTCATGTAAAATTATATGACAAGATAATTAATTCAAACAACTTTCTCCATTCTTTATTGTCAAAAGGCTCATCAGGGGCACACAATTTTTATCTTTAGTTTTATATGTCTGTCCATTTGACAGCATTGCTACCTTGTTTTTATTTATTGTTGGTTAGATATTCTTTGGATTACTGCCACTACACAGCAGACTAGAACCAAACATTTTTTCAATAAACATGTGTGCCAATGTGTCAGGGGCGGATCCAGAGATATTTTCTGACAGTCTTCCATCTTTGTTGATCCATCCTCCATTTTTGACCGTCTTCCGACAGAAAAAATTGGATACCTGTCAATGTAAACTTGAAAATCTGACCGTCTTCTAGAAGACCCAGAAGACGGCCTAAATCCGCCCCTGAATGTTTACAATGTACTCGTCTCCTACTGTTGTAGCATTTACTTTCAAAGACTGAGAAAGTCCTTTTTGCACATTTATGTCTTCTTGGTGAGTTAACATTTAACTCAAAAACTACAAGTTTGGCTCCTAATACTGCTACAAACAAAACGAACAATTATAATAGAAGGAAACTGTCTTATATAAATATATTGACAAAAAATGAACTGTTATCAACATAAGGTGTAAACTTGAAGTCTGCATTTTTCATTGGCGCCATTTTCAATTTCCTAACTTCATGCAACATTTTAGTAGCATCTGTCACGAAAGTGAAGATCATCCAATGTCCATGTCAGCATGACTGTCACTACTACTTGAACTGGGCGCAGGAGATGGAGAGACATCACACTGGAAGAAAAGTCCACAGAGTGCCTCCTGGAGCGCCCTCTGGCAGCTGTATATGGCCTGGAAGCCACCTGCTTGCTGGGTGCTTGATGCTTGTGGAACATTTGCCAGGTATCTTAAAATATAAATATCAAGGTTGACAAGCAATATGTTTGTGCAGTGTTTTATCTTCAATAAACTTTAAATTTGGCAAACAGCCTGGACCATACACTAAAAGCTTAAATATATCTACATTATGAACCTAAAGGACTTGCTATTGAATCCATCAGCATAAAAGCTAGTGCACACACAATCAATTTACACATTATATATTTTTATTTTTATAGCCTAAAAAATTAAGCAAAACATGTTGATCACTCCCACACCCAAAACACAAAAGTAAGGTATAAACTGAAATGAACTGATGAAGCAACTTCATCATTAGCCCACTTACCCTGTATGTTCCAAGTCTGGTACTGGTGGACCACAGGTATCCATGACTAGCGGGGTGTAACTGTACAGAATACCCTCAACCTTGGGTATGGGAACAAACACATTGTGGTGACCATGACCCTACAAAAAACAAACAAAGAAAGGAACTGAGATTTTAAAAAATATATGACAAATATTAACATAAATGTGTGTATCCTTCTATGGAAAAAATGACAAAATTGTCAGAAGAAGATTAACATATTGTATGTTTATTCCTCAATACAGGATAGAAAGGAAAACCTAATAACATAATTCATCCACTAAGTACCACAACAACAAAAAAAGCACCACTTGACTTTGTTCCAGCAAGCTAAAAAACGTAACAAAACTTACAAAAGCATGCCACATAAATTAATTATGATACTCTTTAAGACCATATTGCATCACTAAACAATTCTTTCTAAAGATCAAAGGATGTTTTCTATCAACCTGCACACAAGTATCTAAACTTTGCACAATGCCAGACAGAACAATAAAATCAAATGAGTGAAGTGAGGAACTGATATTAATGTGACATTACCACTTTGATGCCAGTAGAGAAAGCTGTGGCTGCTTGTTTTGGTATGTTCTTAGATTCCTCTGCCCTTGTTATTGCTGTGTGCTCCTTGTGACTTGCAATGATCATGGAGGCAGGCATGTCAGAAAACATCTGAAAATAATAACAACATATTTAAGTCTTCCTGTCTAAGGTCTAACTGAAATTGATTAAAATTTGTACAAAACAAGCAAAGAATTTCATCATATATACAGGTAATTTATATAAATGGTCTATAGAAATAATGATGAGATAGTATTGTTCTTGACCTAGAGAATTATAATAAGAGTCATACACTACATTTCAAATGATTAAGGTGGTGGATGGAAAGTTAACATGCCTCCCAATATTTAGTCTCTAAATCAAAAATAGCCCTGTTTGAATACTATAAATGAATTCCCCTTTTTTAACAGAGAAAGATGTCTTATGTCTAGCAAGACTTTATTAAAGATAACATTCTTGTAAGAGAGAAAACTTTATATATGGACATGTCACCCAGAAAGGCCCACAGATCTGCTGAGATTAACTCAGGATAGAGAAGGTAACTGAATCTTCTATCATGGTTAGCAAGGCACTAGATGATGATGAAGATGATGATGATGATGATGATGCTTTATAAGTCCTTAGATTACCAGCCTACTTGTAACACACCCACCTACCAAATCATCTATTAAAGATTCTTTATCTTTCTTCTTCTTCCTCTTTTCCTCCACCTCCTCCAGAAGTTGCTGTTGTTTTCTGGCCTCTGCCTCCACTCTCTCATGTTCCAAGTAATACTCTATTAACTCTTCATCTTTGCTCTGCAAACAAAGTGAAAGCGATAAATGTTAAGTTTGTTTCCTTGTATGTTAGTTCATTATTATTAATATTATTAATACTAATACAATTATTAATGACAGCCAAGTATAATTATTTATCCCAACTCCAACAGACATTGTTAGATCAAAAACTACTCTCCATGATTTAATCAAAGTAAATTTTGAGCATTTAAATGGTGGCAAACATATCATATGTTTATGACACAAAATAGTAAAATAAATTACAACATGAAAATAAAAAATAAATTAATCTGAGAACCTACCAGCTTTGACCTGTTCTTTGTGATGCTTTCTCTGTTTACTTTCTTATATTGCTCTATCTTTCTTTTGGTTGCCTCTGTATCTACACCATTGACTAGATTAAATACTAAAGGATCAGAAAGAATGCAGAAATTAGAAATCTACACTCACTAAAAGCCAATAATGTTTAATAAAAATTATGATTCAAATATAAAAAAGTCATCTTGATATCAAATGTACAACTTTAACTTTCACAATCTTAGTTGCCATTTGTACAAGGACAGCAAAAGAATGGAAGACCATTGGAAACAATAATATATCATCACAAAACATTTTACAATACATTCAGTACTGAATGAGCAGGCAATATACAGAAGCAAAAGCATTTTCCTAATACAGGGTTTTGATTACCATGTCCTTCCCCAAGGGTAGAATATCCTTTGACCACACCCTCCTTTTCCAACCACTAAGTTGTGATGAATAATGACCAAAAATATTCATCAGCTTGGTATTATAGGATAGATATACTCTAAAGACTTATATGTACACAAGCATAACTTTTTATAAAGTCAAAATGTCCCAGTAGATAACTGCCAGATTAGCTAGCTTAAATGTCTGTCCCACCTACTAAAAGCTGTAAGGGGGTAATTAACTACCATGCACGCTCGGCTGACAGCAATTTAGTGTGAACCCCCAGGGAGTTAGGTCGATCTAGATGGATTGATCCAAATCTATAGGAATGCACTCTTACTTATTGTTTCTATTTCCTCAAGGTAGTCATTATACTCTCGCAGTGACTCAAAGTCCTCTTCTTTTTTGTTGAAACTGAAATATATCAAAAGTTTTTCTTATAACTTGACAAAAAATAATGCTACTAGCTTTTGACGTTGTGTTTGAAACATCAAGCAAGAATTAACAACACCCTGTGGGTAATTAGTACTAGTACGTCCCTGTCAGCAGTTGCACCTAGGACTCCAATTTTGTCAGATTAACCCTTCACCACTGGTGGCTGAGGCATTATGTATGTGAAGGGCCCCTACAGGAAACCCTGACAGAAGCTGCCCAAATTGTTTGCGTAAGGAAATGCTAAGCTCATGGCAAGTAACTCTACAATGAACCAGGAAAAAAGTTATATTATTTTAAAAATAATAAATTTATTGGGAGGAAAGGAGGATCCGTGGTGGCTGCGCATACGCGGTTGCTAGTAGACCTTAATCACATACGCACAAGTGCTAGTAGAGCATGTTATACAATTGCGGGGATAGCTAATTAAATAACGGAGCCCATATGACCCTAGGGGTCATCTATGGTCCACTAATTTTTCGCGATACGGCCATGTGAACATATGAACCGACTACTGATCAGTGTCCAGTCGAAGCTACGACCAGCGAAGACGACAGGTAAAAGAGAACCTTATTGGTAAGTACGAAAACGCCTCCCACCACCCAACCCCTTGACAACAGAACCGAGAATGGGTAAGCATCATTTATTATACAACAAATTAATAACTGTCAATTAAATATGAATAAGAATGGCGTTTCACATACAACCCACCTTATGCCATTATTATTATCAGTTTACCGTAAAGGAATGCACAGATATATTTATGTATATATGTATATATGTAGGCATAGTATGATAACAATTTAAAAATTCTGGCGCGGCCGGCTCACGACTCCTATCCTCCAATACTTAAAGGATATTCGTAAACATCCTATAAACTGATAATTGGCATAACCGAGCTATTTCGGACAATAAAGTATTTTTCTGACAAGCATCTGTCTGACAAAAACCAATTTTACATTGTACCATAACACATATAATTTTCACTTGTTAAAAACAAAAGATGGTTAAGTGGAGTCCTTTATTTAAATAATGCACTGGATTCATACTCTCTTCCCTTCCAAAGGAGAAAAAAAATTGCACAGAACCCTGCTTTAATCTTGACATTCTGGACCTTTTAATGTAATAATAAACATCATCCGGCTGGTGTACTACAAACAATGCTTGAAATGGCAAACAATGAACCAAAAGCACTACAAACAAAACACCTGACAGATGAAATGTAGGCTTCAATAATTCATGATGACCTGCTAAAAGCAGCTTTTACTAAACTATAATTGTCTGTGCATAAATAATGCATGAGTGATTTTTAGAAATTAAAAATTTATATTTCTAATAGTTTGGTACAAAACATTTATTACAAAACAGCAATTTCCCATTTGTCACAAGAGCATTCAGTCTGACATTACTGAACATTGTGCTAGTATCTGCATTGCAACGCACCATTACCCCCCTTGAAACTCACTCTTTTAGAATTTTCTTCCTAATATCTACTTCCTTTTCCACCAGAGGGTCTTCAAACAGCTGGAGTCTGAAGTCATTTCTCCTTAATGCTGTGCCACACTCCGGGCATGCACCAGAGCCACGGATAAAAAGTAAGTCCACACATGTCTCACACCTGAAAAGAATTATCACTGATAAAAATTTTCCAGTGATGGATTTCCAAGTTTTTTTTTTTTTTCAGTCCAAAATATTAGCTTTGATATTTGCATAAATCTGTTGAGAAAAAAATGGAGGGGGAAAAGATCAGACTACTGTACTGCACATGCCTGAGCCTTTTAAATAAACGTTGTTTACAGGGAAGAATATTTCATTCCAATATTATCTTTTTATATTACCAGACTGAATAAAGATGGAAACACCCCTGATCCACCCTGGTGACTGCATGTATATGCCTACTTGCAAATACCCATGAACATTATCTAGTTATATATATTCTAGGGAACTCTCACTTCTAATGTACTCAGTGGCATTTCACACCAAGACACGCTGCACATTTCTGGGTCTTGGAATGCATGAATTTGATTTATACAAGGGATAGCATAAACTGTGTGAAGTGAGGGGTGAAATATGCCAGTACCCTCTACCAAGGCCCTCCGATTTATTATGTGCATTTTTTTCCAACTCGCCCTACCCTGTCTCTTTCAGCCATCTGGAAGCAATAAATTTTGTAGCATGCAAGGGACATTGCATCTGCACTGCAGTAGCTAGGAGAATAGAAATGATGCTGAACACTTGTTATGCCACCCGTCTTCTCTTGTCTGTCTGGTAAACATGTCACATGGTTAGGAACACGCTTGGATGTTAATCAGTTATAATGAACATAATCTAATGAATCTTGAGATGCATCTGCATGTAGACTCCAGCTTTTAGTTTGATGAACGCTCCAAAGTTATCAGGAGTTAACCACCATTTTTTCATCTGGAATTCCCCTGAAAAATGCTTGTCTGAATGAACTTTTCACTTATGTGATTATTTTCATGCCTCTTCTTGACTTCCCACTTGGCAATCTGTACTGGAATAATAATCTGGAATAATAATCCTACACATACTTGTATTTTGTGACATTTTAACATGATATGACACCAGTCAGACTCCAAAATGCACATGTGGTTGCAGACTGGTCTGGTTATTTGAAAGAGAACAAAATTTATAAACTAAAAAGGGACTAACTACAAGTATGTCCACATTTATTTTCAACTGAAAATTTAGAAACGGGGTATAAATAATTACTATTTCAAAAAATTGCAACATTTGAGCATTTTGGAGGAAATTCTCTCGAACAAAATTGTGGTCCACTCCCATGGAATTCCGAGTGTGAAAAGAACAAAGTATTTATCTTTACTTTACGAAGATATAGGGCTGGGACTTACAAACAAATAGCAAGATGATATAGCATGGGTTATTAAGGTACATGGCAATCCTATTTAAAACACTGAAAAATACTTTTCCATGTTGATTGTTTTTCTTCCTTTTTGCAGTATGATAGACTAATTTGGAATTTAAAGTCAATTTCTGTAGTTTTTAGTTTCATTTACTGATCAAGTTGACAGCCCTGATGGCATACAGCAAATCAAGCAATTAAGGTCAGAGCAATTTAAAATGGTCTTTAATATTGAAATGAGAGGAATTTGGTAAGGACTTGTGAACTAACAGTGCCTAACAAAAATGCAAACAATTATTTTTTATAATATAATTATCCGTGGGATTTCAGAATAGGGTCAAAGTGGAAAACGTGAGAAATGAATTAGCAAGAGACATATCTGTGAATATCAAGTTAAAAATCAATCTGTGGCCCTGGCAGAGGTTAATATGCCACCGTGTATGCCTGTTAGACCTGGACATTGGAGCTGAAGGCTTTTGTTTTCATCTGTTGGATAATGGTGTGGCATGGCTCAAATGTTCCATGATCAGACATAGATTCTCAGTTTGTTCACTGAGCTTTTTAAAATAAAAATTGTTTAGAGAGAAGAAAATTTTATGCCAATGTTAAGAGCTGTAACTCTTTTTGCATTACCTGCGCCTTGAGATATTGCATGTATGGATGTACATATGTACATATGTATGTCCTTTTTTTTATATGTATTTTGAAGAGCTTTGTTAAGTATTAGTACTGCAGCATCACATAAGAAACCAATGGGATAGTCCTAGCATAATGAAAAGACGAAAAATAATTAGTTGACGTGTTTGAAATGATCTAGTTTTAACAAGTGATTTACTTCTAGTAGTATACTACTACAGTAGCCCAAGTCGGTTAGACAAGTTAACGACTTACAGTGTGTGTCCACAAATGTTCACCATCAACTTCAGTGACGGGTTTCTATATTTAGTCGTCCTACATCTAGGACAGTACTGGTCTTCCATTTTGACCTAACGAAAGTTACGATGACCACACGATGTTTGAGATAGTCATGTTCTTGTTGAAAATGCGGATTTGGTCACCAAGAACAATAGATGGCGCTGGCCAGCAAGACGGATCGCACTGCTACAGACTTCCCTCACTGTTCACGGTCAAACCTAACGTTAATAGGCCTAATTTATTTCGACCATTAATTTTCCTAGCTCAGCAAATATGAGAAGATACCAGCATTATTGCAACGTCTCTGCAAGATTATAGTCTACCACCACATAATAAAAAAGTAGGCCTACTGGTCAAACGAAAGTAGCACAAATTACCCTGTCTAATTTTAGGTCGGTATAGGCCTACGCACAGTATAGAAAGATACGTTTTAGTTATTTTGGTACAAATATATGGAGTCAGCTCCAAAAATACCAGGAATGCCCAAGTGACTTCAAGATGCTTTTGGGCACTTGGGTGGAGGATAAATTGTACACTATGTAGATATACATGTATGCAGGGGCGGATCCAAGATTATTTGAAGGGGGGGGGGTATTTTGGTATTTTAGAGGGCGAACGGTGGCATTTGGTACAGTTTACAACTATGACTCAACTGGTCAAAATTCTAATTTCAAGAGGGGACCATTGGAGTGATTTTTTAAAATCTGAAATCCGCCATCGATATGTAACTTCTCTATCTTGAAAACGGAGAGCAACACAGCTGCCATATTTTCAAAGTGAGCGGCTTATTTATCACTTGAATGTGTAATGCTGTCGTTTCTGCACAATAATGCACATTGTGGAAAATGTTTTTATGCCCGGGGTCCGACTTTGCTCTGATCTCCCCTAGATAAGTGAAATGCTCATCTTGAAGTGGGCAGATTTTTAGACCAAATAATGAAAAATAATTGTAAAAAAATGATTGAATTTCCTTGCGTCTTTGGCAATTCTTTTGTTCTTTCTGAACATCTCTCTGAGAACTTCTAAACTCAAAACTATCCTTTTTTTTTGTTCATTTGACTGAATTAGAATAGACTATTGCATGCATTCCTTTTTTATAAAGACCTATGTTTATTTAACACATCATAAACAAAAAAAATTAGTCAAAAGTAAACTTTTTTCAACGGTTGGAAGGGCAGAATTTTGAGGATAGGGTTCACAAAAGAAAAATAGGGAGATTTAAGATAACAAAAAAGTCTGTGTATTGACAGTCTGTCTCAAAGTCCCATAAAAGTAGACAACAGCGTATTTCAATTAACCACGAGGCGTCAACATTCTCTTTTACATGTGTGAGCGTTTCCTTTTGTGTCAGACATCGCTCAAGTGATTTTCCACCTGTGAGTTAAGTCACAAAAATTATCAAAAACGTTTCTCACTACATTGGCAGATATACTTATTACGATTAGGTCGGGTGGTACTACGACTGACTGACCAAATAATAAAACCTATTTGACTGTAATCAATTTATGACTTAACATGGATAACGGTGGTCGGCAGCGTTTTGTTATGTGCTTGTCGCCTGGTTGAACAAGTTGATAAACTAATATCGCACACGCTTCGAAAAGTCACCTTCCATAATCATCCACTAGCTCTTTTTTGCACTATAAACCCTAATGCAACGCTTATAAAAACTGCTCACTTCTCACTACCGAAGATGATTAATAAACCACAAAATGCAAGGGAAGAAAAATACGGTGATTACTTTTTTGTTTTTTTTGTCTCATTTCAAATCCGTTGACGGAGAAGATAATTCGTCTAGTAAATCTATTATGGTATGGAATGAAACAGTTACGATACAATGGAGTGCAGTGCCCATTTTATGATTCATAACAATAGTTAATTCTGTATAATGAATCTTGTTTCGCCCAAGCAGGTGGTCGTTCCCGTCATGACATCTCATCCGTTTCTAAAGGTTAAGTTGAAGTCTACACTGCTCATTACTTCTGTAGTTTCTGACGCCTAAACCTAATTAAACGTTCGTTTGGAGCGTTTTAGAGACTACTGTCGTTCGATTAAACAGGTGTTTCTGTTTGTTTTATCGGTCTTTCTTTTTACTTAAAACTGTTGATCAATAGAATGTTAAAAAGAACAATTAGTATATATTTGATAGGTGCCATTTTTTCTTTTAGCTAGCTTCGTTTTTTAAAGTTTAATGTAGTGGTAGTTTCACTTCATTTAATTATATTTTTCTTTCATTTTGCAGTCACTTATTCAATAGGTGCAATAGAAATGAAGGCGGTTCTCAAGAATACAGCTCTTTTTGAACTTAGATTTTAAAAAGTGACCATTAGGTGCCGAGAAGTAGTAGCCTATATTTGGAGATACCGTGACCAAAATATATTGTCTCGCTAATTATAATAATTGTTTTATGATTTGAAAATTCGAATGCTTCACAAAATAGCTCAATTGGCGATCATTGAAGCTAACGGTGGAATGGACTCACTAGTAATAATCCCATAAAAATGTTTGAGAGATATATCTTACCGCACGAAATGAAGACTCCCTGTAAACGGTGTGAACTGTGAGAAATCTAATGAAAGAAATGTAAATTATAGCCCCATGAAACTGTTTGAGAAATACATCATTTTGTAGGAAATGGAGTCTTTCTGTAAACGTATCTAAAGTGGTAATTTTCAACAGAAAAGGAACTATCGCTGAAAACTTACATGTAGCTCAAAACAAACAATAAAAAAACGTTTAGGAAAAAAGTTTTTTCCTAAACAGCAAGTTTCTCGCAATAATGTCAAGTTAGGTATGTCTTAATATACTTTTCACAAGGACAGGCAAATTCTCAGCAGCTCAGCTAGGTCTAAATGAGAAGGCAAAGAAAGCGTAAAAACGCTATCTTCTTTTAAAAAGTTCTTTTTCGACTCCTAGATTTTACCGATAGCCTCGTATGGCTAAAATCTGGGGAGTTACCTCTTTTTACAGACAATACCCTATTCGAAAATCTACAATTCTTCAAACAACTTTTGGAGTTACAAAAACACGCATCCTCAAGGTGAGATTTAGCGTTCCCTAGCCTATATAACTCAGATGATAAAATACTGGATAAAAATGCTGAACATGGACGATAATGTTTGGTTAAATAAATGTATCAAGATGATGTTCAAAACTATAACTTTAGCCACAGCAGACAATGGTAGTTTCTGATGGAGTGAAGAGGCCAAAAAGAAAAGGCTTTGCTTGAATAGAGTTAAGGGTTATTAGACTAAGTTAGTTTTAAAAATTTGTCCACGTCCAGGGCTGTAGCCTCCGGGGGGGCAGGGGGGGCAGTTGCCCCCCCTGGAAATGGAATTTTCCACACCGTGGTAGGGGGACGCCCCCTCCCCCCTCGGGGGCTTTGCCCCCTCGTATCCGCTTACTGCCCCCCCTGGCATTTTGCTCAGGCTACGGCCCTGACGTCTATACAAGAACCACATCAAAGATACACATGTATATGCTGTATCAAAATTGGCATAATGAAATATCTAATAAAAATATATAAAAACGTCGTACTCATAAAAATTCAAAAATAATGATTAGAAACTATTTAAACATAATCTATGGAACAGAGGAACAGAAAAACGTGTAAAACTCATTAGATTTCGGTATCAAACAGACAGGCTCACCAAACCTAACTTAAGAGACGTGGAAAATGACTTTTTCCTCACAAAAGTCTCGCTCCACGAGAGAAACAGAAAACACCTCTTTCAAAAAGCTACAGATCATAATTAAATTTTATGCCCCTAAGCCAGGTAGACAAACTCATTTTCATTTTGAGATGTCCTGAAAAATCCCTCATCTTTGCACTTGTTTAGCTTCTGAGCTTATCTATGAAAATGAGAATTCGTGCTGCATTTAACATAACACAAAGTTTATAATCAACTATTTGCATTGCCATAGTTTTTAGATTAAGTATTGCCATAGTTTTTATATTAAATATTACACATTATTATTGGACATTAGTTTTTTATTGTATAACAAACAGTGTGTACACATATATATATTTAATGTACATTGTCACTAGGTGCAACGAACTGTCCTCTGTATGTAATACATAAACCATGAGTGTGACTGTTAGATCTAGAATATCAATAAGATTGAAGGGGGGATGTCTTGTACTGTCCACCTGTGATTATTAGTGTCTAAATTGTTCTTAGATTAGTATGTCTGCGAATTTCGTTTGATTGACACCTAATCCACAGGCTCAATCTTGACCAAAGCTTGCCTTGACGTCAAAGGTAAATTACCTTCGCAGAAACATTGAAACATAACCTTATAAAAATAAAAGGTGACGTAATATATCGATTTTAAGCCTAGGGAATTATGAAGACAATGAAGAAAAAGAAATCCAATGAAAAATGCTATAAACTGTACAAAGAAAAGAGCCAGCTGATATCTAAATATTACTAGTACAAATGGAAAATAAGATACAGATAAACTTTTATTGTTTTCTCGTAATTAATGACTTTTCTTTTACCCAAAGTTAGAGATGCAGGCGGTCAGCCTCAAAGTAAGACGTGAGATTTCAGTATAAAGCTTACTTAGCCACGGGTAACTCGATACGCTATAACAATATTTCGCTTCTTTTAAGATTATTTGCTAAACACCGGGAAAGTCATTCTGATTGCTGCGCGGTTGATCTTACACGCGCCTGTGAACAGTTATGTCTCCAACTTAACTTAAAGCTCTTTGAGCTCTATGTCATTCGACCCCGGTTATCGGCGCTGGTAATCTGAAAATGATAGCAGTATATAATTCACTAAATAAAGACCGATTTCAATTCTCGTTCCGACTCTCGAAACTTAATTAAAAAGAGCGACATGGGATAGCGCTTCTAATAGATTCTCTCTGTAATTTGTTGTAAGGCTTAATAAGCTCTTGATATGCGAGAAACTAGTGAACAAGAGCGCCAGTACTATTCATCAATTGTCCCCAGTCAGCGACTGGTTTGTTAAAGCAAATACACCGTTCGCCGTGTCTAACCGGGCGTACTTCGGAGCTACAACAGGTGAGCTCGAGACTAGGTGCACCATGAGGTGCACTGGGCATGCATGAAGTGACACACGGGATATTTTATCACGTTACATCCTATTATCACAAAATTCACTGCATGAAAAACTGCGAAATAAACGGAGCTAGCGGGATAGCTTAGGCCTAT